TAAACAGAATTTATGAATACACAAATAGGATGCTAAATGGATGAACATTTCATGCTTTTGAAAGATCTTATAATTAGAAAATTTTTAAAAAATAAGATGAATTTACTTCCAGTAAAAAACCGCAAAAGATGTAATTGCCTACCAAAGGATTAAAAAATGAATATTTTGACGCATTTTCTCGACAAAACACGCTTAGATTCAGAAGGGCATCCCAAATCATTTAAAAAAGTGCATACTAATATAGCAGTCTTTTTTTCAAAGTATTGTTTCTACAGGTGGCTGAAAGGCATCCTGTTCAAACGCCGTCGCCATGAAGTGATAAAAATATCCTCAGTTACTGCTGCATGCTATTCAATATCGCAACTATGCTTAACGTAATTTTTTTTGGAATCGGAAACATATTTCAGCATTTGGATTAACGTTTCATGTGATAGGCAAACTACTGTAGCTGGGAAATCTTACGCACAAATGCAACCCCAGGTTGGGCTTAAAATTATTCAGGAACTAAAAAGTTTCACGAAACTTAAAAATATTGTGCATTCCAGTAGTCAAGTTCAATAAAACGTGAGTTGCCGCCAAATGATTAACGTAAAAAAGAATTTTTCAATCCCTGTTTTCTATAAAAAAATATTTGAATTTATAAGGACATTGAAAATCACCGAGACAATTTCGTACAGCTTGAGTACTCGCTTTTTCTTTTGGTGCGATTTGGGCGGATGGCCTGATCAGAGCCCAGTCAAAAACCGGCAATCTGTTTTTGCTGAAATATTCTGGGTTCATGCCTCACGATTGTCAATATTAGAACCCACCTAAGTCCTCCATGCTACTGGAAATCTCATCTAAATTCATCTCGGCTAACCTTTCATACGTTAGGCCAGGTATTGCAGTTCGCTGCAAAGTAACCATAAAATGAATTATTTTTTTCACTTTTTCTTTGATAAACCAAACTTAATTTTTCAATGGTCGCAGAAATCAGTGAAAATCATCCACCCCAGATAGGCTGTGATGTAATTTCCCAAAGTGCCCGGAAGCATGATCAGTGAAAAGCCAGTATATTAGCAAATAGCTAATTACTCACGCTGAGGTTTTCTGCTAATCAGAAAAACTAGAATATTTTCTCAGAATTTATTTTTTAGCGTCGATTATAATTCATAAAGTATATGATAGTATAGTTCAGTAGGTGCCAGACCGGCCGATCGGCTCATTGAACTTCTAGCCGAAGAAGAAAAGTGCAGAAGCCATGAGCCAAATTATCGTGCTGGAAAATCTGGAGTAAAAAAAATACCTGCAGAGACATAAGCTAGCCGCGGTAAAGTACGCCAGACAGAAAGGACGGTGGAAAACTCAAAAATGGAGGACGACCGACAAGACCACTCCCTATTTCCCCCAAGAAACGGTGGCCGTTGAAGGAAGGAAGGGGGCGAAATGATATACGTAAAATACGGTGCAAAAAGAACGGCGGGATGCTCAGAGGAAGCTTCGTCAATATCGCACAAAAAGGTTCACTCCTTGTTAATTCAAGATTTCCCCGCCTTCTGTCTGACTGCTCAAAAAATCTAGAGCAACCGATACACGCTTGTGTTCAATGTGAAAATCGAAAGTGTTCAATGGCTTTTCACCACTGAGCTCGTTTGCTTGGCGCTTTAAGTTCACACAGAAAACGGGCCAATGGGAAAGCCAAACCCACGCAAAAATTAATTATGTTGTGGCGCAACTGCCGTCGGCATGATCAGGGACTGCCTTCGTTTGAACTACCGATAGATGACTTTTCCCCGCTGTTGTTGAAATTTAGGTCCTGGTTATGTCTCCCGTTAAAATCTGCCCCACGATTATAAGACCACGTGCTTTTGCATCAAAGTTCAACCAGTTTGGGTAGACTGATCCGGCCTTTTTTACATGAAAAACCAAAAGGGACAAATTATAGTGCGAACTTTATTTTTCCCAAGGCAATAAGACTCGTCAGGACCTGACTATCCCCCAGAAAGCATTAGTCGAGCATTAAGTGTCTGAATGTATGACTAAGCATCGTGCTTTCACAGTAAAAACACTTCTTTCAATTGCCTACTTAAAACTCGGACCATACCAGTAGCACTCCCACATGATCGTGTGCTGCAAGTGTCGAGCTCTTTGCCAAACTCGTGTAAGCGGAGCCATTCAAATGAGGTTTCTTTTCATCAGAGAGGGAGAGAGAGAGATAGCCATCTTCTGCCACTGATTTGTCTAAGTAGCATGCTGATCAGCCAAAAGCATCCGACATTCTTTGTGGTACTCGATCAATTACGATGTTGGTGGAAAATTGGGATAGATAAATAGGGCCGAACGGTTCGTCGCTCTCCGAACTGGGGTCTTGGCAAACTGCAATGCCAATTTTTACTTACTAGTGCGTTCCAGCGATCGCAACTCCTCCTCCTCATGTGACTCAGTTGATAGTATATTAAATCATTTCATCCTAGCGTGACGTCGCTGTGGGCACCCGCTGACAAAATCGGTGGTACAAGGACACGCTGAAGGCATCCCTCAAACATCCGGAGATCCAGACGGACCTGCCCAAGATCAACTGGTCAAGGGAACATCAAATCTTCGGAGAGTAATCCATACCGCAATTTGAATGGTCGCTGCCAAACCAAAAACTGGCTCATAAGTTGCCGATAAAAGCGAAAATACGGGGCTCAGGAAGTAAATGGGAAGCTGAACTAGACG